TCTTTATGATATAAATAGCATCTCAAATTTGATTTTTAACTTTCAAACTAGTGCTGTCCTAAGCTAACAATAATAATAATAACATTTGCTTTGGTGGTTAAATTGGTGCCTTAGATATAATCGTCTTAGTCTTACTTAATAGGTACCCCTCTCTCTAGTTTATTTTTCAGTGTCCAGCTATTATAATTCCACATTCCCTATGATGTTTTTTCTCTAGTCGTAGAGATTGTAGAGAATTTTGTTTGTCTTGAATTTCCACAGTGAAAGAAAGTGATGAGTCAAAGATGATGCCAGTGTTTCTACCAGTCTGGAAGAGTGGTTATGCTAATAAGCAGAAATAGGGAGGTAGAAAGTGGGTCAGTACTGGATGGAAAGAGAAATTTTAGTTGTACCCTGTGCCTGTGTGTGGAACTTCTGGAGTTAAGGCTGCAGTCATGGATATGGTGAGCTCAGAGAAGATCAGGGAAAATTAGAACAGGTGTGATGGTTGCACTCAGTAAATGCAAAGGGTTACTTTGCCATTCCCCAGCTAAACAAGTAGTTGGGTTGATAACAAAGTGCTGTTCACAGACAAGGGCTCTGTCAGGCTCCATCAAGTCCTCTAGCATCGCAGTGACTGAGGCAGAACTTGCTCCAGAGCAGCACAATAACATTGATTAAGTACTTTCCATGGTGCCTAAGGCACTTCACTGCTTACCAGAAGTCTGGCGGTTCAAACCCACCAGGCACTCCTAGGAAGGAAGGTTGGGCAATCTACTTCTGTAGTGATATCACCTCAGAAACCCAAGGAGGGGTTGCTATGAGTCGGGTCCAACTCAGCTGCACATAACAACAACAACATGAGCTGTGTACTATGCTAAAGACTTGACAGTCTTTGATCCCAGCAACCCTCAAGTTGGTGCTGTTGTTAACTTCCTTGACAGAGGAGGAATCCCTGAGGTTTACAGAGCTGGTCAGGTTCTTGCAAAGGGGTCATAGAGTTAACAAGGGGGAAGGCTATGATTGTTTCTCACCCATTCCCTCAGACTGTCCCACATGCCTACCTATTTTTCTAGTGTGCAAGGGTGACTTGACTTTGTAAGGACGTGAAAGCTCTTAATGGGGGAATTATTCTACAGAGTAAAAGAAAGCCTTTCCGGTCCAATGTAACCATGCTTCCAGTCTTTCAGAGTCGAAAATAAAATCCGTACCTGTTTCAGGGTCTTCTGTATAATGATCTGTCATCTTTTGTTCAGTTCAGCAATCATTAAGGAAATGCATTCTGTATCCTAGCCCTGTATTCATGCTGGGGACAAGGAGGAGATAGAGACAGTGGTTCCTAGCCCAGCAGCTCTCCAGTTAAAATAATAAATAATAAGCTGATACCTCTGATTTTACTTAAAGGATTTTTATTTCTAACTGGACCATTTTAATAATAGATATTTCAAAATTTCCCTTTACTAACTGCTTGAACAATTTCTCTTAGAAAGATCAGCACGAGGCCGGTCCCCATGAG